ACCACTGGGCTGTTACCTTGGCTGGAGGCATTCCTGAGGCAGGGGGGAACTCACTCTCCCTTGTATCCTGTGTAAGCCTAAACCCTCACCTGAGATTGGTGATATTTTTCAAACTGACCAACCAGCATCAGCCGTGGTCTAAGGATACTGGTTTGTGGTAGGAACTTAGTAATGAGGTCATGATGACAGGAATATATAAGGTCCCTTCTTCCTGGAAGGAGGGGAGACATGTTTTGGGGACACAGCCAGCTAGCCATGCAGCCTCTAGAGCAGGCTCAATCAGCCCCTGGCTGGAATTGTGAGTAACTTACATGAAATGTAGCAGGGAATTTAGAATCTAGTGTTTTAGTCATCTGACAAAAGGTTACCAAGACATTTCTGTTTGTGCTAAGATTTTCTTTTGATACTTCTCTGATTTGCACCTATCCCCAAGCCTGCCCTCTCTACCCAATAACGCTATCCATTAGCCTGTCTTGTAGTACATGCTTGAGAGGGTTTGGACATGCCTTTTTGCTCCCTTTTGCTTGGCTGACTAAGGGAGGCTACTTTCTATGCTTCAGGCTAATAGAAGCACTCCAAGATCCTAATCTATAGGGCCTATGTATCCCGGGCAGCACAGGACCCAGACAAAGACCTGAGTCTGGATGGTGGCAGCAGTACCCCAGGCTTGCAGGTGTGATCCAGGAAGAGGGTTGGCCAGAGGTTAGTGCCCCTGGGGAGGCATCTGAAGCCTGTTTTTTGGTGGGGTCCCAGCGCAGGAGCGCTCCCTACTGACCTGCCACACAGGCACTTATTCTATATGCTTTACATTTACTTTAATAAGGATAGAAAAATCTATTTCTTTGTCAAGGAAAACAGAAATGACCTGTCACTAAACTTAATCATCTGAATTATTTTCTAGACACATTATGATGAAGTCTCAAAAGATTTTGAGGCTATAAAATCTTCTTGGACATGATTCTTTTGTTGATCTAACATTTTCAAATCAGTTGTTTGACATTCTTGAATATTTAACATTTGTATTACTAAGTTTCCTTTTAGTTTATATGAACTTGCTTTGCACATGTGACAAATAATTTTTCTCTTTCTAGGTGTGGAAAGCAAGGATGGTCTTGTAGGTACTTCAAAACTGCCACAAACAGTGGAATCCAAAGCACTGATTACAAAGGCCACCCTAGAAAAGAAAAGGTCAGGCATATTAAGTTCAGTTGAATTAAAAATTAACTATTATATACTTTGAGAAAGAAGAAACCCACTGGTAAATAATATTTTACTGCAGATTGGATCATTACATGCTGGCAAAAAAAATCATCAAATCCTATTATAGTGCCCTATGCTGGCCCAACTTCATAAACCCAAAAATTTGTGCAGAATACTAATGGATGTTTGCCAGATGTGTAATCCAACAATTTAGATGAAATCTGAGGATTCACAGCTGTTTAATTTAAGAAAAAAATGACCTGAACTTTGTGTCTCAGCTATAATAAATTTGTTCTTTTGTTCATTCTTTCTGCATAATGATTTAGCCAACAATATATTATTCCATAATCACCAACACAAATTACCCTTTCTTGGAATTATTACCATTACTTGAAATACTTGTTCATATGCACATTCCATTCTGGGTTCACATGTGCCTCCTGCTCTCAAGCTCAAAGACTTTTGGATTAACAGTAACTGTACGTCATGTAAATATGCTGGGTCTCCTTAAACAACACACTGATGGTAAAAACAGCAGCGGCATCCCTCCTGTTCCTTGGCTAGTCTCAGCCACCTTTGGCTCAAGACAAAACTTGCCCTTCTTGAAGATTAGTTTTGGCCTTGCAGCCACTTCTGTGCATTCAGTTTTTTCTTAGTTTTTAAATATATTTGCAGAGAGAGAGAGGGAGGTCAAAGGGCTTTAAACTAGGATCATCGGGGAATGGGGATGCAGAAGACGGAGAGAACCTAGGAACAATGAACCACAAACCATGCACTGGAAAAGTCCACATAAGTACTGCGAGGCCTGATAGACATCAGGACGGGGGATATCAATGGCACCCATGGGGGGGGTGGCGCTTAAGTGTCTATACTAATGCTAGGAGCATGGGTAACAGGCAAGAACTCACACTCCTGCTTGCAAACAAAGACCTTGACCTGGCTGTTTTAACTGAAACCTGGTGGGACCCTACCCACAATTGGCCAGTAGGCATTGAGGGCTATAGGCTGTATAGACATGACAGAGTGGGAAAAAGCAGGGTGGAAGGCGTTGCTCTCTATGTTAAGGAGCAATACACATCTTCAGTGATCAAGATGGGATCAGAAGAGGGGCAAATTGAGGCACCGTGAGTCAGAATACAAGGGGGTTGGGGTGAAAGGGACTTGGTAGTGGGAGTCTATTACAGGCCACCTCACCAGGAGGATGAGCTAGGCCTGGAATTCTCAAAGCAGCTCTCTTAGGCAGTTCGCTCAAGGGATATGGTTGTCATGGGTGACCTTAACTACCCAGACATCTGCTGGGAGAAGCAGTCAGCTAGATCCAACCATTCATTTAGATTCCTAACCTGCATACAGGACCCTAATCTAAGGCAGGAAGTATATGTTCCCACTAGAGGAAATGCCTTACTGGATTTGGTGTTTGCTACAGGGGATCACCTGGTGGGGGATTTGCAGATATAGGGTAACCTAGGAGATAGTGACCACCAATTATTAGAATTCACTATCCATCTGTCACAGAGCACTGAGGTGCCCTGTGCCTGAAGAGGGGAAAACTGCTAGGGAAGGAGCCCTAGCTCGAGCAGGAGCTCGAGCAGGAGCAGGAGCTCGAGCTCCTGGAGTTAAGATGCGAGAACCGCAGGTACTCCTCAAGCAGAGTAAAGGATGGCAGCTCTAAGATGTCTGAGCAACATGGTTTTAGCCAGGCAGCTTTAAGTTATGTTATAGCCTAGGGGCTTGTGTTTTGCGTTGTTGTTGTTGTTGTTGTTATAACTGGTGGTTTGGGTGAGGCTATCAGGGGTTGGAGGAGGCCTCATAGGGGACCCACAGCAGCGTGGGGACCCCAGCGCCAGTAAGGGCGTGGCATATGAGGTGCATAGACCCCAGCCCCAGGAGGGGCACTATTGAGAAGCCCTAGTGTGGGCGTGGTGAGCCCCAGAGAGGGGGCACTATTGAGAAGCCCAAGTGTGGGCACGGCGAGCCCCAGAGAGGGGGCAGTATTATTAGGAAGCCCAAGTGTGGGCATGGCGAGCCCCAGAGAAGGGGGCAGCACTTGAGAAGGCCCCAGAGAGAGGGCAAGTGTATTTGACACCAACGTCCATTCCAACTGCGAGGCTTGGGGCGTGGTATAAGGGGTGGTTGGAGCCACGCTTAGCCCATAAGGCTAGGGTGCCCCAAAACACTCGTTTGCAGGACAAGACCCATGAGGGGTCCGGGAGTCTACAGGACCAGAGGTTACAACGGACCATGTCCAAGAAGACGTGAGGCAGCCTCCCTAATATATTAGAACATCAAAGACGTGGCGGGCGAGAATCAGAGGGTGCCCTGGGGCCAACTTGGCATGGAGGAAGGGGCCTTAAGGAGATCACGACCCTCCTGGAGGACCCCACCATGACACCATCATAATGTGGCAAAGATAAATAGAAGTGCTAGACTTCAGAAAGACTAACTTAAATGAGCTCAGGAGGTTAGTAAGTGAGGCGCTGAAGCACAAGAGCCTAGGGGAGATGGGAGTCCAGGAAGGGTTGTCGTTCCTCAAGGAAATGGTCCTTTGGGCACAGAAGGGGACAATCCCATTGCCCATAAAATGGGGCAAAGGAGCCATGAAACCCTCTTGGCTGAATAGGGAAATCCAGGAAAGCCTAAAGATGAAAAAGGAGGCATACAGACTGTGAAAGCAGGGAGTTGCCACCAAGGACGAATATACCTACTTGGCTCACACTTGCAGGGAGTCAGTTAGAAAGGCCAAGGCAACAATGACTCTCAGGCTGAGAACTAAAGTTAAAAACAACAAACAGTCCTTTTTCAGGTATATGAGTTGCAAAAAACGGTGCATGGTAACATAGGACCCCTACTGGACACACTGGGATAATTAGTGATGGATAGGAGGGACAAGGCTGAGCTCTTCAATGAGTTTTTTGCATCAGTATTCCTGAGCATGGACAAAGAATTTGATCATATCCAAATTTGACCATAGACAGGCACAACAGAGACACTAGCCCACCAACAGTTAGCACCGACCCAGTGAAGGGACACTTGGAGGGGCTTGATGTGTTCAGGTCAGCAGGCCCAGATGATCTTCACCAAAGGGTTCTGAAAGAATTATCCAGTGTCATAGCAGAACCACTAGCAAGACTGTTTGAGTACTCATGGCACTCAGGACAAGTCCCAGTGGACTGGAAAAGGGCCAGCGTGGTCCCTATTTTCAAAAAAGGGAGGAAGGAGGAAAAATAACGCTGAAGGGAAACCAGTATGGATTCATAGCAAGTAGATCCTCCCTGACAAACCTTGTTTCTTTTTATGACCAGGTCACAAACTGCTTAGATGCAGGAGTCGAGGTGTATGTCATATATTTGGATTTTTAAAAAGCCTTTGATGCAGTGTCACATCCCATTCTCATAAAATAACTAAGAGGCTGTGACAGATAATTACCCAGTCAGGTGGGTAGTGAATTGGGTAATGGAATGCACCCGGAGAGTGGGCAGGTCAGTATCAACCTGGAAAGATGTGGGCAGTGGGGTCCCCCAAGGTTTGGTCCTTGGACCAGTGCTGTTCAATATCTTCATAAGTGACTTGGACGAGGGCATAGAGAGCACACTGTCCAAGTTTGCAGATGATACCAAATTATGAGGCAAAGTAAACGTACCAGAGGATAGGGGAAGGATTCAGGTGTATTTGGACAGGCTGGAAAAGTGGGGAGAACAAAACAGGATACAGTTTAACAAGGATAAGTGCAAGCTACTGCACCTGGGGAGGAGGAATCACCAACACACTTATAGATTGGGAGACAACTTTTTAAGCAGCACAGCAGCAAAGTGAGATCTTGGAGTCAGAGCTGGCTCCAAGATGAACATGAATAGACAATGTGACAAAAGTGATCAATAGAGCTAATCGCACTGCAACTTGCCATGCCTATTTTGAGCTCCCCACTTAGGCTTTTCCCGCCGCCCAGAGCTAGCAACGGTCCTGTGGGCCGACAGTTTGCCTCTGGCACCAGTTACCTAGACCACTGATACTTCTCATCTGCCATGTCTTTGATGGAATTTTAATCTTGAGGATCGTTGTTACTCCCTGCTCAGTGGTGTCATCCTAGGGTGACTTGTTAGCAAGAGGATATTGGGGCTCCACCTCCCCTACACCCCACCTAGCACCAACCCATTGTTACTCTGATGTTGCACGGATGCAGTATTACCAGTCGTCATTCTTGTCTTGACTTGTAGATCTGCCTCTGTCCTCTCTGCCCTCTCCACAGCCGGACTTCCAGATCTCTTCCTCTAGTAAGTATGTTGACTCCTCTGAGTCAGTTTGTGGGAGAAGCTCCTCACTGGGAGGCTGCCACCAGCCATCTCTCTGGTGAGCTCCGCTCCCACTGCAGCCTTCCCTTGGCTGTCAGGGACTTCCAGTCCTGCTGTTGGCTCGGAGTGCGGGGTTTTTATCTCTCCCCGCTGACCCTGCTGGTGAATCGGTGCCGGCATGCACTTACAAAGCATGTCCATGCCAGCACCGGCTTTTTTCTTCGACCCGTCTCCAGGCTTCTGTTGCCTGCAGCGTGGAATGCTGCAGCATTGTTGGTAAGTTTCGTGGCACAGCAAACCCTCTGCTGCTGCCATGCTTAGGGTTCTTGGCGGACTGGGTTGCCACTGACGGGGTTTGCGGCATGGCAGTCTCGCCCTTGCCACCCCATTCCCATGGCTCCACGTGCTGCGGGGTCGCTGGCAGTGCTCGCAGTGCGGTGATCCTGCCGCTGCCATGCTCTTGCGGCTCAGCATGTTGCAATGCCACTGGTGAGCTCTGTGGCATGGAACTTTGCCGTTGCCACCAGGTCCCTGTGGCTTGGCAGTTCCCTTGGCCCCACCACACACACTTTATCATGCATTAACAGGTGCATTACGAACAGGTCTAAGGAGGTGATACTCCCCCTCTACGTGGCATTGGTAAAGCTGCAGCTGGAGTACTGCATCCAGTTTTGGGCTCTGCACTTCAAGAGGGATGTGGATAACCTTGAGAGGGTCAAGAGGAGTGCCACTCATGGTTAGGGGCCTGCAGGTAAGGTCCAACGAGGAGAGATTGAAGGACCTGCATCTCTTCAGCCTCCATAAGAGAAGGCTGAGAGGTGATCTAGTGGCCGTCTACAAGTTTGTCAGGTGGTGGGGGGCAGCAAGGAATAGGAGATGCTTTGTTTTCTAGGGCGCCTCTTGGAGTAACTAGGAACAACACCACAAACTGACAGAGGGCAAATTTAGACTAGACATTAGGAAGAAGTTCTTTATGGTAAGGGTTACCAAAATCTGGAATAAACTTCCAAGTGAGGCATGGGCAACTGGTGCTGCCTTAGTCAGGGGGAGCACAGGCCCCCCGCCCAGCAACCATTCAGCAACCAGGCAGCCAATCCCGCTGACCAGCGGGGGTCTCCTGCAGCCAATCACAAGATGGCTGATCGCTACCACCGAACACTGTGGCCACTTCTGGAAGTGGCTGCAGCTGCATCTGGGAGCACAACAGCGCTCCACACCCAGGCCGGCACTTGCGGGGGGGAGGAGCTTCTGCCTGCCCCTCCTCCTGCCTGTCACCTAGGTGGCAAGCACAGCCAGTCGGGTTGCACCGGTGTTCTCAGGGGGTGCACGTGCACCCCCATGCACCTCCTATGTGTCGCCACTGAAGTGAGGTGGTGCTCTCCCCTACTTCGGAGATCTTTAAGAAGAGACTGGACAAACACCTGGCTGGGGTTGTCTGACCTCAGTTCTCTTTCCTGCCCAGGGCAGAGGGTCAGACTTGATGATCTACTGAGGTCCCTTCTGACCCTAAAAATCTATGAAAGAATATTATCAGTTGTCTCCTAAGAGTGCAAAATTCTTTTAATTTTACCCAGCACCAACCTCACTGGTACCCAGTGGGCCAGATGAGTGGTACAGAGAGGTTCCACAGTCTAGTTTGGACTCACAGATTCCTCACTGCCCCCTGCATGTCAGATCCAGTGTGCATGGCACCCACTCTGGGATCCACACTATATGCAGCACCTGTTCCAGCCAGTCCGGGCTGCACACTACATGTGGTGCATACTCCGGCCAGCCTGAGATGCACATCACGTGTAGAACCTCCCTCATCAGTCCATGACTGCACTGCATGTGGCACCCATTCCAGCCTGCCCAGGATACAGATAGCATGTGATGCCTGCCAGGGCACTATGTGGAGCACACTTCCCAGAGCAGGCACCGCCTGCGATGTGCATCCTACTCCTTGCTTGTGGGTCAACTATGAGATACAGAGGCAGCACTGGGGACCAGATAAGGGGGCTCTGTGGGCTGGATATGACCTGCAGAGCTTATTTTTGATGCCCATGCTCTATGGTATAAAGAAATTAGTTGTCTTTGTGGACAAGTCAACACATGACTTTTGAGAAGCATTCTTAGCCCTGGTAGTAGAGGAAAATGGTTACTAAGACCTTTCTGTGGCAGATATTGTATGGAATTCTATTACCCTTTCTGCATCCTGCTTGGGGTACTTGCCCAGGAAAAAGGAGACCCAGGTTTTAAAGTCTCTCCTCATGGAAATAAGGTTTTAATCTGTATCTCTCTGACTTCCTAGTACATTGCTTGAATCATCACAACACAGATCAGGCATTATCCAGTCCTCTCTTCAGCATGCCTTTTGAAACTGAGCCACTGAACATTGTCATTAGATAAAATGAGTGGCAAATAGTGGGAAAGTTTCTGCCCTATTAGGAACAAGGGTCTAGGCCGGAACTCAGAAGTTAGCTTATTCTTTCTCCTTGACTCGTGTATTTTACTCTTGGCTGCTATTGGCCAGTTTCAAAAGCAGAGCTGGAGAAGGCGTAGGATAATGCCTAACACAGGGGAGGGCAAAATATGGCCCATGGGCTGGATCTAGCCCACCAACTGATTGCATCTGTCATTTGGGGTCAGTGGCCTCAAAGTCATGGGATCTAGCCTCTGGGGAGCTGGTGGCTCCAGCTGCTACGTCGTGCCAGGTGGGTGGCTCCATAGCTTATGATAGCTCCTGTCCTGTGCACCAGAAGCAGAGCCGGGCACTTGCTGGTATCACCTGTGGATACAGCCAGCAGGCTTCCACTGGGGACTGGGGAGACTGCCTTGGAATGCAATAGCATTACTTGCGGACTTGGGCAGATGCCATGATCCCCAACAAGAACCTGCTGGTTGTATCCACAGCTGATGCTGGTGCCCACTGGGCCCTCCTTCCAACATGTGGAGCAGGAACTGGCATAAGCTACAGGGATGTGCTGTAGGTGCAGGAGGGTTCAGAGGGGGAGGTAAGAAGAGGGAGAGACAGAAATAGGCAGCCCTGCCCACAGTGAGCAACAGAAGCCAGTGCTGGGTGCCAAGAAAAAGCAGGACCTGGTGGCCGGTGTGCCCCAGGGCCCTTCTGGCTATTGCTGCCCAGAGCCTGCACCGGGGCTGTCCTGTGGCTCCTCTCCACTGCTGCTGCCACCATCCTGCAGCACCCTAAACAAGTTTATGGATGACACCAAGCTGGGGGAAATTGTACATACATTGGAGGGCAGGGCTAGGATTCAGAGTGACCTAAACAAATTGGAGGATTGGGTCAAAAGAAATCTCATGAGGTTCAACAAAGACAAGTGCAAAGTCCTGCACCTAGGATGGAAGAATCCCATGCACCGCTACAGGCTTGGGACCAACTGGCTAAGCCTTTGTATAAATTGAGCTTCTTTGGAGTGATGCACTGTGGAATATGCATACAGGCAAGCAGATATCTGTAAAATTGTAGTCAAATAGATTACAGAAAGCTCCTTGAGATGGGAGATGCTTTTAGAAAAAACAAAGTGTGGGAGGTATGCACCAATTGGTATGACTTCAGCACAAAGTACAGGGAAGAAGAGGGTGCATGTGCATATGCATATGCTGAGGACAAAAATGTCTTCAAGCTTGAGTGCCTGGAACACGTGTACTCATAGTGACATATACATATGGACAACAAACCTTGCAGAACTCCAGTTACTGTGGTAAATACTTTATTTTTCTCTGACTTACATTGTAAGGTGCTGTTCTAATGTATCAGAAGAAGAAAAGTCACATTCTTAACATTTCCTACTTGTTGAAAAATCTTGGCAGCTGTTCTACAAACTTATTTATTCTCTGGTATTCAATAGCTATGCAATATTTTGCACCCCATTTGGCTGTTAGTAGGTATGCATGTCTTTTGAAAATGTCACCCCACGAGTCCATATGTTTATACATCTAGATGGAGCGTACCTTAAATTTAAAACATATGTTAGTTAATGGCAATGAAACATTTGAGATTAATGGTAATAGCTTGCTAAACTACTGAACTCTATTTCTTTTTAATTTATTATAGGGAAGATAAGAAATGGTTCCTGGAAAAATATCCTGACAAACTGCCATCTCTGTTAGGAAAACTCTATGTATTTGCATTTACTTGGGCAGTTGGTGGAGTTTTAAGAAGAGAAGATGATTATGAGGAGGACTCTTTGATTGGCATAAATACCACAGATGAATGTCTTGTAAATGTAACACACAGTTTCAATAATCTTGTTCATGATATATTTGAAGGAGAACCACCTACTGGTAACTTTCAATATAAGTTCTGTACTGCAAGCCATTCATTAAACTTACAGTGATAATATTGAAATTAATTGAAAAAAAATTTTTTTTTCAGAAGTAAAACTTGTAATACTGTATTTTCTCCCATATAACCTATACCCTTTTCTCCAAAACCAGCTGATGAAACTTCGGCTGTACATTATATGCAAGAAAAACAGAACCCAAAGAATATGAAAATTTGATAGCAGAGGAGAGGTGGCAGCCTGAATTGTCACATCTCTAGAGGTGTGTCTACACATGCATTTGATCTGGGAGAAGTTTACTCACAAGTAAACTTCTCATGAGTAAATGCACCCAGGCAGGCATCTATACATGCAGGGACTCATGAGCAGATTTGCGGCTCATGGCAGCAATCTGTTCCCACCCCCTCCAGCACTGCACCGGCCTCCTGCAGCAGCCAGAGGGAGCTCTAGGCTCCCCCTGGGTGCTAGCCCAAGGGCTGGCAGGGAGCACAGGGCCAGTCTCTTGGCAGTGGCTGGGACATTGCTCCCTGCTGCTGGGGTGGGCTCCACCCCCAGAGCCTGGGCAGAAAACAATGTCCCCCTGCCCTGGCAGCAGGAACCTTCTGGCCCCAGCTCTCTGACTGGGGGCAGGAGACTTGGAAAGAGTTGTAGGGGAGGGGCAGGTCCCAGGCTCCTACCCCAATCTTCCAGTGGGGCAGCTAGCAGTGAACCCCTGGCTGAGCGGGGATTCCCAACCCCTGCATCCTAATCGTGATCTTGGAGCAGGGGGCTGGCTCCAGGTCCCAGGCTCCAGTGGCAGAGCCCACCCCGGCAGCAGGGAGCAATCTTCCACCCCCTGCTGCCCGGCTTACCGGTAGCACATTTGCTCCTGGTCAGGCGTCTACATGAGTGCTACTGTGCTGTAACTAATTGCAAGTAAATTTGTTACTTGCATTTTCAGGTAGCAAATTTACTTATGATTAAAGCAGTTTACTGCACAGCAAATGTATGCACATGTAGACATGCATGCTTACTGCACAGTAAACTGCTCTACTGCACAGAAAAGCATCTCAAGTAGACGCACACTAGGAGTCACATGTATTAATGCTGCTATGACTCCTTTGCTGCCAAATTTTCTGGACCTGTAGGGAGTGCCCCTGGCTGCATGACATGGCCCTGCACACCAGATTAGACTGTCTCCTGGGATCAGTTTGTCAGTCCCATCCAGCACATGGGGTTGACAGCATGCTTAGGAGCAGTTTCAGCTTCCTATCTGCTGCTATTCAGATTATTATCCAAAGTAAGTTCTTTTTTTCCTTCATGCTATCTTTTCAGAAACTGGGAGCATGTTATATTTAGAGTTATGTACGAGAAAATTCAGTACTATGTGCTCATATGTATTTTTTAAATCCACATATTTAAATCTGGTTTTGAACATTTTTTAAACTGTATACTACCTGAAGAGAAGAAAAGTTGATTAATAATTATCTCTGGATGCTGACAGACATACCTTGACCATGCTCTAACTCATGACACTTTCTACAAAGTGCCATGAGTTAGAGTCCCTCCTCCTGGCCCCCAATCCAACAGACCTTCCCCTGCTGGGTTGGGATACAGGGGCTGGATCCTGCCATCACTAGCCCTGGCAAGCAGGCAAGGGTGCCCCAAAAGCAAAGAAGACTGCTTAACCCCCCCTCTCACCAGCCCTGCCCCTTCCACTGGAGCTGCAACCTGGGGTTTGCTACCTGGCTGGAGCTGGGGGGAGAGGGGGGTGGAATGGACCCCCCCCAGCTTCGCAGCTCCTCCCCCTGAGCTACCCTGGTTGGGGTACTGAGGGGAGCTGGGCTGGACCTGCAAGGCAAAGGAGCTCCATTCCATCCCCCACCCATTTCCAGCTCAGGCCACACAAGCTGGCAGCTCATGCTGCTCCTTGCCCCCTCTCTGCTTTGTGTGGCCAGAGCTGGAGGGGGGGTGTAGAAGGGAGCCCCCTCACCTTGTAAGCCCAGCCCAGCTACCCCCAGTACCCCAGCCAGGGTAGCTAGGAGGGCTCCATTCCACCCCTCCCCCCACTCCAGACAGAAAACCCCAGCCAGCGCTTGGTACTGCTCCCTCCCTCCCTCCTCTTCTGCCCTCCCCTCCCCCTGCTGACAGCCCTGAAGGTAAGGACAGCCCCAATGGGAATGTCTCAAAAGGACCACCCTGCTGACAGCCCCAATGCTCAAAAAACTAACTCTAGGGAACACAGGTTCCCTAAGGCACTCTAAAGCAGAGTGCCTTCATCTAATATCTTATTTGGGGAGGATTAATTTTTTTTTGCACAACTGGCCATTTTAAAAGCACTCTGCAGCTGTGCATATGTCATGGCACAGCTGTAGAGTGCTTTCAGGGGCCTGATTGCACTTGTATAAGTGTCCTCCATTTTAAAACTCAGTCACAACCACTTCCAATTGAACATGGTCACATTCATTATTAATGCTCTAACTGGAATAGGTAAACCTGTAAGGGTACACGAGCCATAATTTCCACATCAGGTGATTGCTGGGAAAAAAAAAAATCTGTTCAAAAAGTAGCAAAAACTCTGAAGTTCCAGAGTTGTTAATTTTGTTTAGCTATGTGGCTTTGTCACTGAGCATATAAGAACAGTGTGAAATTTCTGCTTCTCTGACGCAGATCTTCAGCTAGTATAAGTTGTCATAGATTTATTAACTTCAAATTCTAATATGCACTAGCTGAGGATGTCTTGCTACTTAAGTGTCTTGTCTTGCTGCCTAAGTGTATCTCTGTTGCTAACTTTACAGGTGTTCAGTTTCCATCAGGAGACAGGGTTATCTTTGCTTATTTTGTGGATTTACAAACAGGTGATTTTTCACCATGGACAGACTTAGTTCCTACCACTCAGTTTTTAATTCAGCAAGGTAAGATTCATTAATTAAAATCCTTTTGATAGACATTTAGCTGGTTTCTAATTAATGGGAGGATTTTTTTTTTCCATTTACATTTCTTCACTTACAGAAGTGAAGAAGTTGCACCACAGTAGACTGGAGTTCTCCATCTTTAAAACAAATACAATATAGATAACTTCTAGTATAAATCTTTTCCTATGTTGGTCTTGTATTTTGCTTCAGATTTATTAAAGAGATCACATGCATGGGTAAGAGGGTAGGTTCTTTCATCAGATATGTCTTTATATCTCTGAGAAGCAAGAATATTTTGTGATATCCTTTATTGGGCCAGCTGTATAGCCAGTTGGACAAGCTTTTGGGCACCAAATGGTTATGCCCCTAGGATACGCCCTAGGGCTGCTATGGTGCCCCCTTGATGACCAAGGTCCTGTCTGGCCTTGGAGGTGAGGCCAGGGCCTGTGTGACCGAAGGTCCTGGGGGGACCACGCCTGAGAGGGGAGATGGCTACAGGGAGCTTGGCAGCCCAAATGATGGTGGAGTAGGCCACCTGAGCGGAGGGATCAAAGGGGGATCCTGATAGGAGCATTCTGGAGCCCATTGTGGGGCTGATGTGACTAACAGCTGGATGCCACCTGTGAGGCTTGGGCCACGATGTATGGGAGGTACGGAGCCTCGGACACCCCCAAATATCAGGAGGCAATAATGGGCAGCCTCCCGCTCAATTAACATCCTAATTAATAAGAACAAGGCGTGGGAGGTGTGCCTAAAGGGAAGTGGGGAACCTAGTACTGTGGCTAGGCGGGGAGCCCCACTTTGCCACAATAACCAACAAACTTTCTATTGCAGTAACAGTTGTTGGGATGAGGCTGTCTAATACTATGAACTAGTTACTAGACAGAAATTATTTTATTTCACATAGGCTGCTGAACAGCTATCAGACGGTAATATCATGTGACATGCCACAAAGTTGGGTGGCATTTTGATAAGTAATGTCAAGGTAAAAGATTTGTCCATTTCCCATTACTAGCTTCCTGAATCGTACCTAATTTTGGTGGTTTTTTACTTTTTGTACTTTAAAATAGCCAGTACGTTGGAAATCATAACACTAAATTACCACATAGGGTTTGAAAATCTGGAATGTACAAATCACATATTGTAGTGTCTTTGTTTTAATTTACTTCTCTTTATGCTATGCTTGGAAATAAGTTTTACCAGAAAGTTTGCTTTTCATGATGTGCAGAAATAAGTGGTGTTTTCCACCAGGTTTTTTGCAATGTAATTATTTTAATGGAACATAATTTGGTAAAATTTAGCAGACCCTAAGTACTTTTGTTTACCATATTTACCGAATCCAAGACTTCAGATTTAAGATGCCCCCTGTAACAGGATACGCCCTAGGGCTGCTATGGTGCCTCCTTGATGGCTGCCTAAGTCCTGATCAATTTTGTTCCCACTTCTCAGGGTCTTCCTTTCATGTCTCACCTGCCATATCTTTGATTTTGTTGATGAAGAGGCGAGGGTGCCCTTAGAAGCTGGTGAGGGCTGTGCTCTTTTTAGTCCCCTTTTTGTACTCCATGGGCTCACTCTGGCCTGCTTGGCTTGGAGTTCAGACCCCAATGTTCAAAAGTCTCATAGCGCGACCCACTCATTGCTCCTCCATCCCTACTGCCACACACAGTCCTCCGGTTATTCAACAAACATAAACAACCGTATACCAGTACAACTGAAATATGCATGAGCTGCTTTCACAAAGTTTGCTTCCCACAAACTATAATTCCCAGGGCTAGGCTAGGCCTGCTCTCACTCTTGTGGGTAGCTTGGGTTTCCCTAGGCATTGCTTCCCATAGTCAGCTTCCCTGTGGGAGCTCTTCTTCCTGCAGCCTGCGGGGCCTGACTGCTTGCTCTGGCTCAGGGACTGGACTTATATGCCTGGGAGTCCCGCTACCCTCTCCCAGCCATGCCCAAGGGTTTTACTCCCTTAATTAAGGGTCAGCCTGTGCTCCTTCCACCGAGTTCCCTTAAAGTGACAGGAGCCCTCATCTCCCTGGTGCAAATTCCCTTTTCCTTGACCAGCTGCTTCAAACCTCCATCTCATCCCAAATATCTTTCACAGTCTTTCTCTTTTGATGCCATCTGCCTGCTCTCCCGCCTTCATGTAGACTGCTTTGGCACATGCTCTGGATGCGCTGATTGGGTTTTCCTCCCCCTCCATTGTGTCCAAGTAACAGGGTTTGGGTCCTCTGTTACAACCCCCCAGAATTAGATTCTGTATGTAGTAAATTTATAACTTTGTTGTAATTTTCCATGTACAGGATCTAACTGTTGCAGGGTTGTCTTAAATTTGTTCCCCCAACACTACTGCAGTGAGAAACACAGCAGCAGGGGTACATGGTGGGGGGCAGGTGGTAGGGGAAGTCAAGTGGCCTGATCCCTGACCGTTACCCCCTGCTGCCTGCCCTCAGAGCCTATGTCTCTTGATGCCTGATGCCCCTGCCCCTTGTCCCCCCTGCTGCCAGCCTCTCACCCACCCACCAGTGCCTGTCTCCCACAGGGCCTGTGCCTCTTAGCACCTACCCCTCCCTCCACTTGTCTTCCCTGCTGCCTGTCCCCCTGGTGTCTGCCCACCTTGTCTTGGATTTAAGTAAATGTGCTAATTAAACTTCCCATACCCTTAATTTTAATTGCTGCAGAGTAGAATGTCAGACTCTAACACTGAGTCCTTTCTATTACATTATCCTTAGATGAGTAATATAGAATATCATTAAAAATATTTCTCATTCTCAATTTTCCCATTGTTTTCACTGTATTGCTTCCTACTTATTGACTTTGCAACCTGCTTTGCTTTCAATAATTTGTGGCATTTCTTCTAGAATAGACAAATCCTGTACTGCCTAAAGTAATAGTGTTTTTCATTTCTACTTCAAATAATTGGTGAAGTTTCGGGTACTAACATCTAATTATGCAGATGCAAATATTTTAGGGGATAGGTTTGTTCTTCCTTTGCTCCTTAAGCTACTTAGAATGCTGCTCAGCCTTCCAATCCAGTGAGCCAGATAAGTGTCACAGGGCTGGTCCACAAGCCAGATCTTGTGTGGATTCAGTGCACAGGATTGGGCCACGCATGCCAGGATCTGGCCTCACGCATCCCGGATCTGGCCTCGCACTGTCTGGATCAGGCCCTGTGCCACCGAACCCTGTGCACCTACATCAGGCCTTGTACATTTCAGACTCACGTACCCAGTCTAGTACACAGGCCATGCTATCTACTGCAAGGTTTCTCATGGGTCTAGAAATTTGTCAGCTGTGGAGTGTCAATTAATGCTGCCACTGCTCCCCCACTGCCAAATTTTAAGACTCCTGTGGAGCCCTGTCCTGCACTTGAGTACCCCGACTTAGAAGATACCAGTTTGCTGTTCTGTTCAGTGTGATGGACATCTAAATGACCTACATTTTGTGAAATACATAATTATAGATGCATTTTCTGTAACTGGAAAAAGTGGGGTCATTTAACTTGGAGCTGAAATTATTTCAGTTACTAGAAATAAGTGAGATGCTGTGTGCTTAATAGCCAAACTCAAAGTTTTAGCGTTATTACAAACCTTACAGATCTTTGATAGGATCTGTGACATAACATTATGCACAGGGCATACTTTCCACTCAAGCTTTAATTTCAAAATCTGGAATTCCTCTGTGCCAAATGTTTAAAAATAATTAAAATAGATTTCCAGAGTCAAAATATCAGGCACAATGGATGTTAACAGCAGAAAAGATTAGGGATGTGGTGATTATTGTAAAGATCATGCATACTCAGAGAGCTAAGATGACATTTCCAGGACATTTTCTGTCATGAATGCTAAAGCTTGGCGGGGGGGTGAGAGAACAAGAATACAATAGTAATTAAAAATGAATGTGCTATATTGCACCTGAATTGAAATTGTAACTGTGTTTCTGAAGAGTGTGAAGTATTAGAGTTCTATTAGTGTTCAAACTCTAATAAACAAATAATGTTAGTTACCCATACCTATTAAATGGGTACTTTGCGTCGGTCTTCCATCAGTCCCATGGGATGCCCATGCCCACTACGGGACAGGGAGGTCCAGGTGAGGGTGATCCTCTGCTCTTCATCAATGCTGACCCTGTGAAGGAACACCTTGAGAGGCTGGATACCTTCAAGTCAGCCGGCCCTGACAATCTACACCCCAGGGTACTCAAGAAGCTGGTGAGTGTCATAGCCCAGCCTCTGGCACGGATCTTTGAAAACTCCTGGTGCTCTGGTGTAGTGCCCAAAGACTGGAAGAAGGCCAATGTGGTGCCTGCCTTCAAGAAAGGGAGGAAAGTGGATCCGGCTAACTATAGGCCCATCAGCCTGACTCCTATCCCGGGGAAGATCTTAGAAAAGTTTATTATAGAGGCCATCCTTAATGGACTGGCCGACGCCAACATCTTAAGGGATAGCCAGC